CACACCGTGCGGCTTCCTCCTGGTGGGTGTGGGCAGGAGCGCGAAGATGACGGAAGTCAGTCCTGCAATCAGGTTGTATATCGCGACAGTGAAGGGGTTCTGAAGATGTAATCAAGACCCCTACTCGGTTTGACTTTGAGGTCATCACCACAAAGGGGAGCCCCCGCTGGGTGGGCCTGGCCTAATCAGGGAAGCCTCTTAAAGGGGAGTCAGTCCTTCTCTGGGGTCAGAGAGATGCTGCCAGTGGCCTTCAGGAAGAAGGAAGGCTGCTCGCCTTCTATAGCTGCAAGGAAACGGACTCACGGAAGAGGACCCTGTGCCCCAGATGAGACCAAAGCTGAGGCCGGCACCTCAGCTGCAGCCTCACGCAGAGGACCCAGGTAAGCCGGCTGCTCGGCTGATCCAGGGACACTGTGGGATAATAACGGTGAGTTGCTTTAAGCTGCCACGTCGGTGGCGATTTGTTCACAGTGACAGAAGATGAATGCATCATGTTTAGTTCTGACCTTTGGGCAGCCGGGAATTTGGATGCAAATACGGACTTTCGCATTTTTCGCATCTTTACAGTAAATATATATTAATTTTGCAATTAAATAAAGAGAAATGCTAAAGGATTTGTTTTGGGAGAGTTTTCTTCAACCATTTTGTTTACCCTCCCAGTGTGCTTCAAAAGCGAGCACAGGAGCAAACGGCCTCCCGCCCTCTCCACAAACCGGTGGCCCCAGCAAGCGCAGCTTGCCTTCCTCTGCTGTTTTCTGTGTGTTCTTTTCCTAAGGCCTCCCGCCCAGGGGGCTTCCTCCCCCAGCCTCCAGGGCAGCTGCACTCATCCAAAGTCTCTGACACCCTTCCACACATCCGGGGCGCAGGGCCCTGTCGCGGTCCTCCCACCTGCCGCCCGAGCGGGCTGAGTCACAGACGAGCCGAGGCTGGGAGCGGGAGGGGAGGTGCGCGGACCCCAAGGCGGGACCCTGGGAACGCGGGAACGGGCTGGGACGTCAGCTCCCCTCCGCCCGCCCCCGCCTCGCGGTGCCCTCGCCCGTCCGCGCCTTGTCTTTGCAGAGCCTGTTCACACCCCGTATTTCATTTGTTCCTTAGGATCTTACAGTCAGGAAGGAAAGGATCGCTAGTTCCATTTTGCTGATGAAAAAAAACTGGGCCATAGAAAAGAAAAAAGCTTAGGCGCGATGATTCAGTCTGACATTCTTCTCCCCCCCTCCCCATTTCCGTGGCATCAGCTCCCACCCCGCCGCCCCTGCACTTGACTTCCAGGGTCCAGCGGGTGCAGATGGGGGGGAGACTTTCCTCAGCTCTTCTGGGTGGGGCCGGGGGAGGGGTGCGGAGGAGAGAGGGGAGGGGTGCCCATGGCTGCACAGCAAGTAATGAAATGTAAATTTTCCATGGAGTACAGAAGTGAATCTTAATGAAAGGTATTATTAAATTCAGCAAAACACAAAGAAATGTTAACAGAGCAGAGCTGATTAGCCCACAAAAAGGGAATAGATTGCAGCTTGCATCATTCAGTCTAGACAAATCACGTAGATACACATGTGCTGGTTTTAATTAGTGCCATGGAAATTCAGCATTCTGTAGCCCAAAATGTTATTGTTCAAGAAATAATAAAAAAATTTTTTTAATAAAAAAATGCAGCTCAAATAATCACTTTCCATAATGCCTAAGTAGACTGTGGTTTTTCTCCCCTCCTCACTCCTCATTTAAATGAAAAACCCACATGAGGTCAAAATTGCTGCTGCTTCTTGTGTCTAATAGAAAGTTCTGTGTTCCCTTCTGCCATGGTGTCACGAAATGTACAATTCTCATAGAAGTCGTATGCAGGACTGAATACATCACAGCAAGAAACTTTCCGTTTTTAGCTAAAAAGTCCAGATTTTCTTTTTTTGCTGGTTTAACCCTTCAGAAAATTCTAAATGGATCTAGGCTACTGGCTCAAGGTTCTATGCAACAGTGACCTTCAGTGAGAAGGGAGCACGTTGATTTTTTTTTTTTTTTTAACCTACAGAATCCCAGGCTAACCCTTCACAAAATCCTAAGAGCGTCTATGTGGGAGAGGATAGAGGGCCTGTGTCCAGAGCTTTGAGAAGAGGGAGGTGCAGGGAGGACTTGCAGGTGGGGGAAGGAGGAGGATGTACCAGTCAGCTCAGGCTGTTGTAGCAAAGCCCCCAGACTGGGGCACTCAAACAATCGACATTTATTGTCCCACAGTTATGGAGGCTGTAAGTCCAAGGTCAAGGTGCTGGCAGGGTTCATTCCTTTGAGGCCTCTCTCTTTGGCTTGCAGATGGCCACCTTCTCATAAGAAATAATAGAAAACACATTGGAGTGAGAGAGCAAGATCTTCCTCGTCATATAAGGCCACCAATCTTACTGCATTAGGGCCCCACCTTATGGGCTCGTTTAACCGTAATTATCCCATTAGATGTCCTGGCTCCAAATATAGTTGCATCGGGAGTTAGTGTTCCAGCATGTGGATTTGGTGTGTGGGAGGTGGGGGGGCTGGAGCCATTCAGTCCCCAACAGAGGTGGCAGTGCAGCCCGGGAGAGCATGGGGTGGGATGGGGATAGGAGGGTGGACTCAGCCCCCCTGACCTGCAGGCTCTGTCTACTCCAGCCAAGCAAATGGAAAACATGGAAAAAGCCCAGTTTCTTGCTGGGGTGTGGTGGGATTTGAAGGGGAGGGCACCTGGGCTTGGGCATGTCAGTAGACCAAGCCCTGACACTTGCCAGGGGCTGACGAGGAGGCTGGGGCATGAAGCAGGCAGGCTGGAAGGGAAGGGGCCTGTGTCCTGACCGTGGAAGGAAGACCACCCCGTGGCTGCCCCTCAACCCCTTTCCCAGCCAGGCCCAGCACCGCTCAGCTCCCGGGTGACCTCCTGTCACCTCCCTGACCACAGGTCTGGGGCCTGCCCAGAGGACCATGTCTTTTCTGCAGCCCCGCCTCAGAAACTGCCCCAGAACTTAGTCCCGCCTGTCCCCGCACTTGGTCTTTACCTATTCTAGATGTATTCTCCCAGTCTCTGCCTGCATCATCACGTGGCCTTCTCCCTGTCTCTTCTTGCAAGGACGCTAGTGATTGGATTTAGGGGTCCACCCTACTCCAGGGTGGTCTCTTCTTCACTTATATCTGCAAAGACCCAATTTCTAAATAAGGTCACATTCATAGGGACAGGGGTTAGGACTTGTGCATGTCATTTTGAGGGGGATACAATTTGACCCATAACCTCACACCATCAGTAAATGTCAGAGCCTGCAACACCTCCACTCACAGCCCCTTTGGCCCCATCCAATAAATGACAGCATGTGAATGATAAAGTCCATGTCACCCATTTTACAGCCTGGGAAACTGAGGGGCGAGGGAGTCCCAGCCTTCCACTCCCCAAGGATACAGGCTGTTCCTCACAGAGCAGGGTTTGTGCCCCTGCCTCGCCTCTTGCCTCCTCTGCCGCGTGGATGCAGTCTGGTTTCCTGTGTCTAGCCCGGACCTGCGATTTACTGATTTACCGATTTACTGTTGTTTTTGTCTCCTGGCCTCCTCCCTACCCCTGCAGGGAGCACAGCTTTCAAATGCAAAGCAGCCCATTCCTAGCCCAAGCCCAACCACCTCCTTACCAACCTCCACCTCTCACACGCTAAGTCAGTGTCTCCCCTGCTCTAAATCATCTCTGGGTCGGGGCCAGGCAACCAGGGACCACCCCTGCAGTCCAAAGCCCGCCAGAATCCTTCCAACCTGCCAACCCTAGCCTGCCTCACTCTGCCCTGCTCTGCCTTCCCCCTGACAGACACCCCGGTAGAGGCTCCCGCCTTGTTTTCCCCTCGCCCCTGCTTCTGCGTGGTCTCAGGACATGTCAGTAATGAATCCTTTCAATGGCGTTGACCTCTCTGTGCCAGCACCCAGTCCATACACTAGAATCCTGGGGGTGTCGTTTCAGTACGCAGCCTCTCCTGGGCTGGCCGAGGTATCTGCAAACTCCTGGGCTCCTGCAGCACCCGGTACACAGTGAGGGTATCAAGGGGTGGGTGTCTGCCTGACCGGGTGCAAACCCAAGCCAGCAGTCACTGGACTTCTGAGCACATCTGGCCCCTCCCTCTTCCAACGGGCGGGCCACCCCTGGGCGCCCCCTGGGGAAATTCAGAAAGCACCACTCCTTGTGCTACTTCTTTTGTTACAGGGATTGCTTCAAACTGTAATCATTATTCACAAAAATGTATATATTTTCCACTAGAGTATGAACCTTGTCCTCACACCTGAGGTGTGTGTGTGTGTGTGTGTGTGTGTGTGTGTGTGTGTGCGCGCCCATAAGAGCCCAGTAATATTTGAATAAGTGATTGAATGAATGAGTGTTTCTAAACTCATTAAGCTCAGAGTAAGATGCAATTTGAACTTAACCTTCCAGGTAGCGGGGAGCAGGAGGGGTGTAACACGAATAAGGGCTGGAAGAGGAAGGCGGAATGTGTGCAGGAGGCGTGTGGAGCACTGGATTAGAGAGAAGAATACCTCTCAGAGCCCAGGTCAAGTCCAGCTCCCCTGGGTCATCTTGGCAGGTTACCTGACTTCTTGTTTCCTCAGAGTTGCTGTGAGAATTAAATGAGAAAAATACAAAGCAGTCAGAGAGGCGCTTGGTGCACGGTACGTATAGAATAAATGTTAACTGTTATTAATGCTCAACCATTCCGAGCCTCAACTTCTTACTCTGTAGTAGCATGTCATTAGCTGATTCTAAATGGAAACAAAGTGAATTTGTAAAAACAAGTTTCGCCAAACAATGCCTGCTTTGTGTGATATATCCTAATACATTCAGTTTTATACTATCTCATTAAAGAAAAAAAAATATTGTCAGTGACCCAGTAAATTGATTTCATTATCCATTAGTGGGGATGACCTTAAGTTTAAAAAAACCCAGCCAACAGAATACATTTTTACAGACTGTATTTTTTAGAGCAGTTTTAGGTTCACAACAAAAGCGAACAGGAAGTACAGAGAGTTCCCACACCAGGGCTCTATTCTTGTGACAATGGACGAACCTACACTGACACATCTTCATCACCGGGAGTCCAGAGTTTACATTAGGGTTCACTCTTGGTGTTGGACATTCGGTGGGTTTTGACAACTGTATAATGACACACAGCCACCATTCTAGTGTCACAGCACAGTTTCCCCCCACCCTTCCCTCTAGAATATTTTCCAGCAGAGTCTCCAGGCCATGGAGGCTGCTCAGTGATTTGCAGTGATGATGACAGCTGACGATGAAGATGGTGAACTGGAAGCAGGGAGAGGCTTTGAACTAAGCCAGTGGGGACGCTGCTGTAATGGTTCAGGCAGGTGAGGTCGGGAGCCGCTGTGGCTCTGGAAGCTGGTGGCCCTGGTGTTGGCCTGTGGGACAAGACGTGGTGGGCAGCAAGGACTTTGAGGCAGAACTGAAATCTGCTGAACAGCGGGGGTCAGTCAGCTGGGACGGCCAGAAAGCTCTGGATTAGGAGCTGGTCCACCCGGGCTCCACTCCCATTTGACTGCGACCCTGGGCAAGTCCCTTCTACAAGGAGGCTGGACTGGATGTCCTCATCGTACGTACAGCACCAGGGCCAAGGTGAGCTAGTGCCACCCACATCGGGCAGCGTTCCAGAGGGGCAGGAAACGCTTCAAGGGTCAGGCAGGATTTTCCCTGGGCCGCAAAGGACCAGTGCGGGTCTAATACCGGAGGAGGGACCCGGGACTCAGGAGCAGCCTCCGAAGGGGCTTCTTTGCGCATGTTTTCCTGCCCAGCAACAGGCGGCCTTGTTCCTTCACCATCCACCCTCTCAAAACAGCAGTGAAAGGCAAACTTTCCAGCCCGAGCCCCCCTGCCGCTTTAAAGCCCTGGGTCCTGGCCCCTCGGTGACCCGCTGCGCCCGGGGAGGGGCGGGCGTTGGCGCGGTGGCGGCGGCGCTGGGGCGGCAGCTGTGTCCGTCTGCCCAAGGGTTAACCCGTTCCCTTGCAGCTGCCGCGCGCGCGTGCCTTGCAGAATTTCACCAGAAGAGGGTACAGTTTGAAAAGCGCTTGACGTCAGGCTGGAATTCCTATTGTGTTTAGAAACGGCTTGGGCAAAGCCAGACCAAGTTCGCTCTCCGCGCACCTCGCGGACCGCGGCGTGGGTCCGCCAGCTCCGGGACCAGCCCTGCGCGCCCCGGGGCGGAGGACGGCGCCCGCCGCCCACGAGGAGACCCCGCTCCGGCAGGAGGCCGAGCTGAAGCCGCGGATCGCGCCGCCCGGGAGCCGGGGGTGAGTGCCCAGGAGAGGCCGGTGGCTGCGAGAGCCTCGCCGGCGTGCGGGCGCCCGGATGCCCGCCCTGAGCCCCGCCGCCGCCGGGTGCATGCCTCCCCCGCGGCGCGCCCCCGCCGGCTGCTGCCCGCTGTGACCGCCCTTCCCCGCAGGCGGGCGCCGGCCGGGCTCTCCCCGAGGGCCGCGCACTGGTGGCACCCGCCGGACCCCCGGCGGCGGCGGCGGCGGCAGGGGGCGAGGAGCCCAGGCTGCGAGGGCGCGCGCCGGGAGGATGGACGGGTCCGGGGAGTGCAGCCTCCCGGAGCAGGGCAGCCCCGGCTCCGTGGCGGGCGACGACATTGAGATAGTCGTCAACGTGGGGGGCGTGAGGCAGGTGCTGTACGGAGACCTCCTCAGCCAGTACCCCGAGACCCGGCTGGCGGAGCTCATCAACTGCTTGGCCGGGGGCTACGACACCATCTTCTCCCTGTGCGACGACTACGACCCCGGCAAGCGCGAGTTCTACTTTGACAGGGACCCGGACGCGTTCAAGTGTGTCATCGAGGTGTACTATTTCGGGGAGGTCCACATGAAGAAGGGCATCTGCCCCATCTGCTTCAAGAACGAGATGGACTTCTGGAAGGTGGACCTCAAGTTCCTGGACGACTGCTGCAAGAGCCACCTGAGCGAGAAGCGCGAGGAGCTGGAGGAGATCGCGCGCCGCGTGCAGCTCATCCTGGACGACCTGGGCGTGGACGCGGCCGAGGGCCGCTGGCGCCGCTGCCAGAAGTGCGTCTGGAAGTTCCTGGAGAAGCCCGAGTCGTCGTGCCCGGCGCGGGTGGTGGCCGTGCTCTCCTTCCTGCTCATCCTCGTCTCGTCGGTGGTCATGTGCATGGGCACCATCCCCGAGCTGCAGGTGGTGGACGCCGAGGGCAACCGCGTGGAGCACCCGACGCTGGAGAACGTGGAGACGGCGTGCATCGGCTGGTTCACGCTGGAGTACCTGCTGCGCCTCTTCTCGTCGCCCAACAAGCTGCACTTCGCCCTGTCCTTCATGAACATCGTGGACGTGCTGGCCATCCTCCCCTTCTACGTGAGCCTCACGCTCACGCACCTGGGCGCGCGCATGATGGAGCTGACCAACGTGCAGCAGGCGGTGCAGGCGCTGCGCATCATGCGCGTGGCCCGCATCTTCAAGCTGGCGCGCCACTCGTCGGGCCTGCAGACCCTCACCTACGCGCTCAAGCGCAGCTTCAAGGAGCTGGGGCTGCTGCTCATGTACCTGGCAGTGGGCATCTTCGTCTTCTCCGCCCTGGGCTACACCATGGAGCAGAGCCACCCCGAGACGCTGTTTAAGAGCATCCCCCAGTCCTTCTGGTGGGCCATCATCACCATGACCACCGTGGGCTACGGGGACATCTACCCCAAGACCACGCTGGGCAAGCTCAACGCGGCCATCAGCTTCCTGTGCGGTGTCATTGCCATCGCCCTGCCCATCCACCCCATCATCAACAACTTCGTCAGGTACTACAACAAGCAGCGCGTCCTGGAGACCGCGGCCAAGCACGAGCTGGAGCTGATGGAGCTCAACTCCAGCAGCACCGGCGAGGGCAAGGCTGGGGGCTCCCGCAGTGACCTGGACAACCTCCCGCCAGAGCCCCCGGGGCAGGAGGCGCCAAGCTGGAGTGGCCGGCTCAAGCTCTCCCACAGCGACACCTTCATCCCCCTCCTGACCGAGGAGAAGCACCACAGGACCCGGCTCCAGAGCTGCAAGTGACACGAGGGCGCCCCAGGCAGGGACGAACAGGCTGGTGGATGGACCGAGGGTGTGGCAGGCATGTCGGCCATGGCAGAGAGGGGCTGTCCTGTGTCCCCCCTCGCTCCCCTGAACAGACTCTCAAGGCCCTCCCGGGCATCTCTGACAAGGCTGGGTAAGACTCCTTTGTGTCGCCTGCTGTCCAGGAGCCGGGGAAGGGCAGGGGGTACAGGGCCCAGGGCCGAGTGGGGGCAGTGGAGGCCGTGGCCCGGCTGGCGGCAGGAGCCCATGCCCGCTTCTGTATCTCCCTCAATAAAGCCTCCTGCTCTGTGCACCCTGCCGTGTTGTAGGTTCTGTCACAGGCTGGCTGTCACCCCCAAGAGTGGCTCAGGCACACCCCAGTGCCAGGCCAGGAGGTAGGTGTGCCGCCCAGGGAGTGGGAGCTATTTTTAGTTGAGAGCTAATTAAAGTAGGGCTCACAGTGCCAAGGAGCCTTGCCACATTCCGGGAGGCTCCGTGCAGGCCACCCTGCCTTCCGTTTCCTTCTGGGGAAGAGCTCGTTCCCCGGGCACGCCAGGGAGGGGCGAGTGCACACAGCACCCGGGCAGTGGGGTCACCCTTTAGCTGGCACTTATGGAGTGCCCTTTGCACAACTCTTCCGATTCCTTCCAGTGACCCTGCTAGGTAGGTATCCCCATTTTACAGAAGAAACTGAGGCCCAGGGTCACACGGAGCAGGAATTCGATCCCAGATCTGATGATCCCAAAGCCTGTGTGTCATTCTCTCTGACACCAGGTGGGCTTGGGACAGAGGCATCTGCTTGGGCTCCTGAGGGAGGGGTGTACAGACCAGGAGAGGTACAGGGCTTCCTCAGAGTGGGGGTGCCTATCCTCCAGCCCTCCTTCCTTCTAGCTCTGCTAGCGTTATCTGCTGAAAGGACAAACCTGAGCATGGTGCCTGGTGGCTCACTGCCAGCCCAGTCAGAGAGCCCCAGGGGAACAGTCAGGTGGGACTGGGTTTGAAGCCCCGGCCATGTGCAGGGGCTCTGAGACGCCTTTGAGCTGGTGCCTCTCCCCCACTACTCCCTTACTAGCTGTGTGCCCCTCAGCTTGTTGATTAACCTCTCTGATCCTCGTTCTGATCATTTGTTAAATGGGGGTGTAATAAGTGCCTCGGAGAATCCTGGCACTTAATCTGTGCCGAGAGGGAGCGTGTCCCCAGATCTGGCCGGGCTTGCAGGTGGGGCGGAGCGCAGCAGGGCATTGTCACACTGTTTTTAGAGACTAAGAGTTGGCCCTAGCGGGCCCCTCTCGCTGGTTTTCCACCTTCTGTGGACCCCAGAGCTCTGTTCTTTCCTCCCCTGCTGTGACAGCTGGTGCAGACGGAGGGGCCCTGTGGCGGGGGCAGGGGAGCCTGTATAGGGGAGTGGGAGGTGGTCCTCTCCGGGCTGCCACCAGCCTAGGCCCGTCTCTCCCCTTCTCTGGGCCCACTTTCCATATGTGTCATGAGGGATGATGGGCTGGGGCCCCTTCTAGGCCTGGCCTTCCAGGATTTTGAAGCCTCGAGGGTTCGGATGCTCCGTGGTGGGGCCTCCAGGAGGTGGGGCTGCCACGTTGAAGGGGCACTAGGAGGTCTTGGGAGAGAGCCAGGGTCATCCCCGTGGGGTGAAGGGCTCAGCTCCAGGGTCGCAGTGATATGGAGCACCCCAGGCAGAGATGGACCGGTGGGGCAGGCGGTCGGCCTCCAGGCAAGGCCCCTCTGTGTTGCCCTGAGCCACTGCTGTGTCCTGTCCCTCCAAGCCTCTCCAGGAAGTGCTGGGTCAGGGAGCATCACAGGCAGAGGAGTGCAAGGTGGGGCGGGGGCAGTGAGGACTCAGTGGGGGGGAAGGGGTCTGTTGTGAGGGGTGGTCTGTGGTCCCCGGGCTCAGTGGGGTGCTGAGTGTGCGGGTTGCCTGTCTTTGCCCCCTTGGCCCCGAAGTCCTTGGGAAGCCCCAGAGCCCGTGCTGGCCTTCTCACAACGGGGAGAGGCTCGTGGAGTGCAGGGAGAGGCCAGGATGAGTCTGCCCGGAGGCTGTCGCCCTGTCCTGCCTGGGGCACGGGAGGGGCGGTCAGTGGAGAGCGTGTTCAGAGCCACACCGCCCTCTCAGAGCTGAAGCCCTTCTCATCCTCTGCGACTGAGTCCCGGAGGCGGAAAGTGGTTTGTCTGAGATCTTCGTAAATTAGGATTAGGCAGGATCCTGAGCCCAGAGCAGCTCAGAGTGTGAGGCCATATCACGGAGGAGCCACCTGGGGACTTTGAGACCCAGGAGGAATCTAGGGCACAGGGTTTTCAACTTTGCTGTACAACAGAACCACCTGGGGAGCTTTAAAACATCCCCAGTGTCCAGGCTATACTTGCTACCTATTAAATTAGAATCTCTGGGGGTGACATCCAGGCATCAGTATTTTTTAAACTTTAACGTGCATCCGAGCCATCTGGAGATCGTGTTGGGAAGTAGGCTTTGAGTCAGTAGATCTAGGTTGGCCCCGAACTTCTGTGTTTGCAGCAAGCTCACAGATGGAACGGACACTGCCGGCCCCGGGACCCCATCTGAACAGCAGGAGGCCAGGGGGGACGTTGGCAAACTGTGGCCCGTGGGCCAACTGGCCTGCTACCTGTTTTGGCACTGTCCTCGAGTTAAGAATGGTTTTTATACATTTAAATGGTTGAAAAATTCAAAGGAAAAATAACATTTTGTGACATATGGAAAGTACATAAAATTCAGCCTTCGGTGTCCACAAATAAAGCCTTATTGGAACACAGCCATGCCCATTTCTTCCGGAATTGCTGGGGCTACTCTCGAGCTGCAAGGATAGAGCTGAGCAGTCGTGACAGAGATCGTGTGGCCTTCAGAACCTAAATTATTTACTCTCTGTCCCTTTCCAGAAAAGTTTTGCCACCCCTGGGCGATAGGAAATCTGCGTTAGGCCTTGAAGGGCGAGTAGGAGCTCTCCTGGAGGAGGAAGCAAAAGAACATCCCAGGGGCAGCGGGAGGCAGACACAGGGCCCGCCCCAGACGGGGACAGACAGCGAGGCCCCTCTTATCACAGGGCAGTTGCAGGGATGTCAGCGAAGAGCCCTCCCTCTGTCCCCCTCACGGTGTCCCAGGGCTCACCGCTCCCTTCTTTCCTTCTTACCCAACACCCCGACTCCTGGTCTCTGCAGCAGGCTCTCTGCAGTCCCGGCTCCTCTTCGGCAACTGGCTACTTTCCCTCCTTTCCCGACCTCTCGTCCACAGTCCTGTCCAATGTCCCCGACCCTGGGGGTCAGCGCCTCACGTGCTCTTCGGCTTGGGAGAACCTCACAAGCTTCTTGTTAGCTGCTAGTGGCTACAGGGACAGAGAGAGAGAGAGAGAGAGAGAGAGAGAGAGAGATGCTTCTTGGAGCTGCACAACGTCCAAGCTAGAAGGACAGCCAGGCTCCGCGGGGTGCAGCCCCCACTGCACACACGGGACACTGTGGCCGAGTCACACACAGCTGGATGAAGGGGCTTTGCTAAAGGCCCCTCAGGCCACAGCCCCAGTGAGGGGGCCACCTTGTTCTACTTCTGTGAATGTCGAGAGCACACAACAAAATGCATTTCATAGAGAATTTTGAGTGTGAGACTGCATGTGTGTTTGTGTGTGTGTTTGTGTGTAAACACATAGATGCCTGACTTCTAAATGAAGGGACACGTGGTAGACATTTCACAGACAATTTCATCTTAGCCTCAAGATAACTCCACTCAGTGAGCTAGTTATCCTCAGTTTTACAGACGGGGAAACTGAGGCCCGGAGGGCAGAAGCAACAGGCTGGTGGCTGTGGCACTCGTTGGTGGCAGAGGTGGCAGCCAAGCCCAGAGCCGCCAGCAGACACACTTGGCGGATCCGGCTGCCCTGAGAACTCAGCGCCCAGGGCCCCGCTTGGGATCTGACCTGAGCTTCCTAATAAGGCGAAGGCTGCCGTCCCGATCTCTCTGGAAGGCATCACCTCCCCAACCAGGCAACAAAGAGAAGGCCAGTCTGCTTCCTCGGGCCAGATCCTCGGGCCACGCGGAGTTCAGGGCCCACCTTGGCTGCTTCGGGAGGGGTCGGGAGCTCAGCCTCGCTTCTGGGGTCTGGAGGTTTAAACATAAAACATAAAACAAGGAAAACCGGGGGGAAATCTGTGAAAGTGGCAAGACCTGGAATTACTTCCTATACACTCCCTGATGAGAGCAGCGGAGGCAGGCAAGACAGGCACTTGCCACGGGCTCCCTGTCACCTGCCCGCCTGGGGGGCATTGACCGGAGCCAGGCCCCATGGGGAGTGCCCCCAGAAGGCAGGGTCTGGCCTCCCCTCCACCCTCTGCAGGGGCTGCCAGCCCCTCCCACGCTCCTGGGCACAGCGGTCCCCTCCCCCGGGGGGTGAGTAAGCCTCCTGAGTCTCCTGCCATCTCTGGGGAGATGAGGACGGGGTGTTTCCAGAGAGGCCGCCCACCGTCTGCCCGCAGCACAGCGCTGCGCACCGCACCGAGAACGTCCCGCGGGCTTGGGCGGGGTCTCGGGTGGAAGTTCCCCGCAAACGCCTTTCTCCACGTGGAGCGGCCCAAGTCATAGCTACCGTGAGGATGGAGGTTTCCAAAAGGAAAAAAACAAAACAAGCATCGGGAGGCTCGATAAAGCTTAGTCATTTTCTGTTTTTGCGACTGTCGCTATCAGCCAGCCAGGCGTGGCGCCAGGGCCGCCATAGTCACCATGTTGTTTCGCTCTCCCCCCAACTGGCAGCAAGGGATGACTGCTCTGGCTGCAGGTGAGGCCCGTGAGGTCCCGTGAGTCCCAGGAAATTGCCAGCGAGTCGCATGGCTCAAGAGAGGTCAGTGTGGGGCCCCAGCTTGGGCCTGCCCCTTCCCTCGGGCAGCGTCCCTCCCCAGGGAGAGAGGCGTGGTGGCCTCTGGGCTGCTGATGCTTCGCTCCAGCTCAGCCTCGGGGCACTTTCTGGACCAGAGGCCTGACTGCAGGCAAAGGAGAGACCTGCCACGGGTGGGCACTGCCGGCAGCCACATGTCTTCTCCCCAATCGAGAAATATTGTGCCTGTTGTCAAGGGCTTGGCTGTGGAAATGGGGTCTGTGCTTGCAATGGTGACAGCCCAGACCCGAGCGGAGGTGTGAGTATTAATATGTGCAGGCCTGGCTTCTGCTGGTGCATATGTTGGCTAAGCTGTCAAGAGCTGTCACTCGAAGTCAGAGGCTTTGTTTGCTGTATTCTGGTTTTCTTGCTCCTTGCTATACTTAGCTGGGTGGGTCTGAGTGGTCTTGGGGCACAGACTCCAGGGGAGGCCGCA